ATGCCATCCTGTTTACTCCTTATGTGCTAGTACCTTTTATCAGAGGGAATTGTACCCCAGAGGGATGGAAGAAAAAAAATTGATGGACATGTCCAGTGTTGCATTTTGCTTCAGTTTTTCAACCCCAACCAGATCTGACAGACTTGCAGAACATGGTGTTAGGTGATATAGAAAGGCACCAACCTCCACAGTATTCAGTAAACCATGTTCTAGATGCATAATAGAATCACAGTGTTCACTGGCATGAAAAAGAGTTTCTCCCATCACTGGACCTGGCCAGACAAAAAGTGCTGTGCAGAAGCTGCAATGGGACACAGGCTGCAGTGACAGACTGCTGTTTCCTACATCAAAAAGACAGTCCTGTGTCCTGGTTTGAGCCAGGATGAAGCCAGTTTTTCTTTTTACTGAATTTTTTTTTCCTTCAGTAAGCTTTCTTGTAACTAGCAACAGTGTGTTCTGCTAGGCTGATAAGACACTGGAATGTTTTTCTAACTACTGAGGCTTCAAGGCCGCACCTTCACTCTGCCGGCTCAGACACTATGGGGAGATCTGTGACCCCCCCGTAGGAGGCTGAGTTAGACAGACAGCAAAATTGGCCAGAGATATTCCATTCCATATATCTACATAAGCTCAGAGGAAGGTCAGAGATCACAGAAGACAACTTCCTTCCTTCTTCTTCCCTTCTCTTCCGTCCATGGCCGGCGTCCGGGGAGGACTCTGTTCATCCATCACCGTCGACCCCCAGGCTCGAGCTCTCCTGACCCTCATCACTCTGTGCTTTCTCCAGCAGCAGCTCCGGGATTCCTCGGGACTCTTCCCAGTTCAGGGAAGTGCTGTGGAAGTTGCTGGGGTGGGGGGAGGTGAGAGGCTTTTGCCCATACCTGAATCTATCTGTATATAATTGTATATATTTGCTTGTATCATTCATTAGTGTTTTAATTAAAGCTGTGTAGTTGAGTTTTCAATCCAGCCAAGTCTCTCTCTTTTTCTCTCTCTCCTTCCCTACCTGGGTTGGGGGGAGGGGGGATCGAAAGCATTGTTGTCGGACCTAAGTCAAACTGTGACATTTCTTAAATCAGACAACAGAGAAAAAAAGATAATTTAATAAATTAAACTTTTTTTTTTGAGGTTTACTGATTCTTCACATTCTTCCAATCCAAGAAACAGAGGATATCAGATGAAAGTAGCGTGTGGCAGATTCAAAATACCAAGAATAAATTGTTCTTTATAAATGAGGGCAAACATATGCAAGTATATAAAATGAGAGTTTCTGAGATGACCACCGTCAACACAGGAAAAGACTGGAAGTTAAAACAGGTGAAAGAACTAGGAAAATAGCTCACTGCTCAGTAGCATTTGAAGTATCAAATAAAATTATAGGAATTATTAGGTAGGGAGCAAAGATCAGAAAAAGCACCAAGTTTTGCCACAGTGAAAACTCATGCTGCATCTTGAATCCCCGGAACAAGTGAGTCTGTAGTTTCAAGAATGGATACAACGCAGCTGGGAGAGGCATGGAGAGGTGCAGCAGTAATGAAAGTGTGTGCACCAGCTGCCTTTCATGGAGGCCCCCGGCAGCGCTACAGGCTTGGGGAGGAGTGGCTGGAGAGCTGCCCAGCAGAGAGGGACCTGGGGGTGCTGATTGACAGCCAGTTGAACATGAACTAGCAGTGTGCCCAGGTGGCCAAGAAGGTCAACACCATCCTGGCCTGCATCAGGAATAGTGTGACCAGCAGGACCAGGGAGGTGATCCTGCCCCTGTACTTGGCCTTGGTGAGGTCGCACCTCAAGTACTGTGTGCAGTTTTGGGTGCCACAGTATAAGAAAGACATTGAGGTGCTGGAGAGGGTGCAGAGAAGGGCAACTAAGCTGATTAGGGGTCTTGAGAACTAGCCTCATGAGGAGAGGCTGAGGCAGCTGGGGCTGTTCAGCTTGGAGGCTGAGGGGAGACCTCATTGCTCTCTACAACAACCTGAAAGGAGGTTGTGGTGAGGCAGGTGTTGGCCTCTTCTCCTTGGTGACCAGCAATAGGACAAGAGGAAATAAGGTCAAGCTGCACCAGGGGAGATTCAGGCTGGATATTAGAAAAAATTTATTCACAGAAAGAGTGGTGAGGCATTGGAACAAGTTGCCCAGGGAGGTGGTGGAAGCACCTGACTTTGTGACAAGTAGGTGTTGAACTGGTGATAAGATAAACACACATTTCAAGTTCTCTCTGTACATGTTATTTCCCCCAAATTAACTCTTCTAAGATAAAATTGCCCATAGATTGTGAGTCTATTGAAGATGCATGGTAGGCTAGCATGTGAGAATGTAAACATTGCATCTGAATAAAACACAATTTCGCATTAATGTTGATCATAGTGATGCTTCAAACTGCAGGCAGACTGTCATGTGGCATAGGGGGGGAGACATAGACAAGCAGTTAGTGGCTGCCTATTTTTTAAGGCAGTTCACTTTGAAAGTATGTATTACAGCAAAGAATACCCTGTCCCTCAATGTCGAAATAGAGCCAGGACTTGATTCTGCAGCCTGAAGTGGAGCTGTAGGTACCTGTGAATAGCAGCATGGGTGCTGCTGCAGAGAGTTAAAAATTATGTGCCAGTAAGGCAACTTAGGTGTGTTAAATATTTTCTTGACCAGGTAGACATATTTCCACGTAGATACTCCTTAATCATTATCTCCAGGACTAGTCACACCATGGCCTAGGACACATTGCGATGCCCTAATAAGCACCAGTTTTGGGGTGGCATCGCCAGGGACAACCAGGCTTTTGGGGCCCCAGAGGGTCTCACTCGGGACCCCAGTCTCTCCCAGCAGGCCGGAGCTGGCGAGAAAGGGCCACCACACGGAGGGGACTCCTGATCACAACCTGGGGCCAAGCCAAGTCAAGGAGAACACTTGTTCTCTGCCGCGCGGGGCTTCCTCAGCTGGGCCATCGGACCGGACGCCTCTTCCTCGCTCTACCGGACATTCCCGGCGTGCCCCCGGAAGCGCTTGTCGGGCTATAGCGGAAGTGGGGCGGGTCCTGATCTTTTTGGTGCTGACGCCTGGAGAAGATGGTGAGTACTAGGGCCTGGGGTATCCATCCCCATCTGCCGTTGTTCAGAGTCCTGAGGAGCCTCGGGTCTCGTCTAGGGTTTGGGGCGGCCCTGCGCCCTGCTGTGACTGTGCTCGGGGGCAGGAAGGCGCTGCGGGGCGTGAGCTTGAGGGCCTGGTGGTGAGTGCCGCTGCTGGCCCGGGATGGGGAGCGTGGCGTCTCGTCCTGGGTGGGGAGGCCGTGGTTGGGTGTGGATCTGTTCTGCCGCCCGGGTGCCTCTGGGGTCTCCTTCGGGGTTTCATTCGAGCTGGCTGCGGCCCTGGCCGGGCTGGCGCTCTCCCTGGGGATGAAGCAGCCTTTCAGATAACGTACCAAAGAGGACGTTTGGTCACCAAAGCCCATTGTGGTGAGCGTGCGGCTGACTTGCGTGAAATAAATACATTTTCTCAGGAAAAGAAACAGTTTACTGTTTAACATTGATGAATTTGCGGGAGACGAGAAGGGAATTGGTGATATCCCCTCGGTGGCTTTGCTTTATTTCAGCACTGGGTGGGGGGGTAGGAATGGCAAAGAGGTGTAAGGGACTGGTTTCTAAAAATGGAGGATACCTGTAGGCGAAACCGAGATGGTGTTTTAGAGTTCACTGTGCTTCTGACATGTTCATTGGACTGTGAATTGTGCATGGTTTTTAGAGGAGCTTAATTATGCTTTGAGTTACGTGACTTTTAAGTGGTAGTGAAGTTAACAACGTGCAATGTCTTGAAATGTTTTTTCAGACGAAGGGTACATCATCATTTGGTAAACGACGAAATAAGACACACACTTTGTGTCGTCGATGTGGGTCCAAGGCATACCATCTGCAGAAATCTACCTGTGGGAAATGTGGTTATCCCGCAAAGCGTAAAAGAAAGTGTAAGCAACATACTTGAATTTAAAAGTTTGTGTTTCAGTGTTTCTTCAGTAGTCTGGCTTTTTTACAACTAAAGAAGAATACTGTGTCATCTTGAATTGTCATCTTGCAAAAGCATCAAGCTTTTTTAAAAATTAACTCTCATTTAACTATTTCAGCTGACGCATACAGTATTGCTGCATAGAAAATAAATTTATATTTTTTTCTTTTGCTTCTGTCAAATTGAATAGTTGTGCTACAGAAATGTACTGTGCAACTAGTTATTTGGTGCAGATGAGTAACAGTAACTTCTGTGTTCTAGATAACTGGAGTGTAAAGGCCAAAAGACGCAACACCACTGGTACTGGTCGCATGAGGCATCTGAAAAGGGTCCACCGTCGATTCAGGTATGACATTTTATTACAAACTAGTGTGATGTGAGATCTTGCATGGATTTCACTGAATTATGAAATTTGTCATTCAAAGTTAACGCTCATATTTACTACACTGAATGTAGTATGGTCTTTCTATTTATAGTGTGAAAATAAATGACACCTTGTATCTTCAAAATGCTGCCAATTATAAAAAGCTCACTCATTAATACACATAGGATATATGGCAAGCTATGATGCTTCTGTTAATGTAGGTAGTACAGAACAGAGGGTATTGTAATAAAATGCCCACATTTGAAAAGGTATGCTTTGTGTAGCATTGCCTCTATTTGTGAGTCAGTGAAATTCCTGGTTGCAGAAGTGTGGGGTTTTGTAAGAGGCAATTCTAAAAATGCATTCCAATCCCCCGTTGCCCACAAAAGAAACTTCAGGGTTGAAATACTTAAGTAGTCACTCTTGTTGGAGTTCAGTTAGCAGTAAGTAACTGTAACATCAGATTCTCAGTTACAGGTTTCTAAAATGTGTTATAAAGCTTTGAGTTGTACTTACAAGGTACTGTACTGTTAAACTCATTAAGAATTTACTTTGTATGACCTCCATGTTCTAAAATGGAGCTCTGTAACTTCTGGCCTAATACACCAGAAAGCTGGATGAAAAACACCAAGCAATTCAAGAGTCTTTGCCTAAAAATGTAGATTGAATTTAATAGTGAAAAGTAGGGAGTCTTTTAAGTCCTGGACCTAGGTATGGTCAAGGGATCCATTCATCTTGGGTTTTTTGGTGAGAGCAGTTTTTCCTAGCAGCAGCCAGAAAAACCTTAATGATGTGCAACTGCAGCCTTATTTCCATCAAGTGTTGCTGAAGTAGAAGTGTCATGTTCAAAAGCAACCTTGGAGCTGACTGGTGAACTTGATCTAAAACTTTACTTGCTAGAAAATAACCTGGAGCAAAAACTACTCTCTTAAAAAGTGGTAACCGTATTTCTACTTGTAGGAATGGATTCCGTGAGGGAACCATGCCGAAGCCCAAGAGAGCAGCTGTTGCAGCCTCCAGTTCATTGTAAAGACTCATCCATTTGTTAAAATAAATAATCTTATCCAGAAAATGTCACCTTTTCTACATGTTTTACTTCAATGAAATACAGGATTCCTGAAAATACATATATTTACACACACAAATTCTTGATGGTATGCACTGAAGAATTTAATTAAAAGTAATCCTTTAATTGACTTTTTATTTGATAGTACCTTCACCTTGAAAAGGACCATTATCTCTTTGCTGAACTTAAAAAGTGTCTTGTATGTGTTATTCCATTTCTTTTGCAGACGAGTTCTTTTGAATATCAGCACTATGGATTGAGTTTCACTGGGCCTTAGTATGGAGAGTCAGAATGTATCTCAAAGATACTAACTTGCATAATGGCTCTAAGTGCTTTACTGGGAGAGAATAGTTTAAGATGGATTCCCAGTCTTAGCCACTGTTATGTGGCTCTGAAAGGCCTGCAAAAGTATTGCCTATTCAGTGGGTCACTGCTTCTTGGGTGTGGGAAACTATTCTTTTCTTCCCCACATAAGTCTAAACAAAATGCCTTTTAAGCCAGCAGAGGCCTCTCCTGATAATTCCCAGCTAACGGACTAAAACAGACTTGCTTCTCAAGGACAACTGAAACCAAAACAACAGATGTGGTACGGGACAGAAAGGATGGGCGACAAGTCATACTTTGCCCCTGATAGTCACCACCCTAACTTGGGGCTCATGGATGCTAATTGGCTCTGGACAGTGACACTGGCTGGACAGGTGGGTCACGGGGGTATAAAGGCAGCAAGTGCAGCAGGTGGGCCCTTCCCTCCTCCCTGAGATCTGTTTGGATGCTTTCTGCGTGGGACATGCCCCCTGCTACGGACCCTGATGCTGGGACCTGCCTGCCTGCCCTGGGTCGAGCCTGGGCCTTAGCGGTGAGCGTGCTGGGGTCCTGACCCCTGGGGTCGGGGCCGGAACCACCCCCCCGTGTTGCTGCCGGTTGCCGGGGAAACCAACCGCTGCTGTCGAGCCGCGAGAGGCTGCCCCTCCGACAACAGGGACTGCCGACCCTGCCGTCCTGCCTAGTGAAAAGGGGCCACCAACCGCCGCTGTCGCTGGGAAAGGAGCCATCGGGGACAAGCCGCCGGAGGGTAACATCACCGCGTGCACTCATACTCCCACACACAGCTCGACCTCTTAAGGAGGACTGACTCGGGCTTCCTCCCTCCTCCCTTTGGTCCTTAACCCCTCTCCCTTAAAAGCACAGGACCTTTTGCATTACCTCCCTAATGGACACTTTCTTACTATATCTATATCTAGATCTAGATATGTCCCTGATAGCCATTTACATTTACATCTTCCCTAAACATCATCCCTCCGTTTGTATTAACCCTTAATAAACCGATTAATTCGTGTAGTAAACATTGGTCTTAGAAGCAATTTGTGAGCGTGGTGGGGGTGTGCACTCTAACGACCACTCTAAAATACGGTCCCGCAGCGGCCGTTCCTCTGTGAGAGGCGAGCGCCACGTGTGAGCCCTCGGTCTTATCCACAAAACCCTCCACATCAGGGGGGGAAGTCGCGAAAGCATCCTGACAGCCGGTAGCCCCCCAATATCAGTTCACAGTACTGGGTAAAAAAAACTTGCAAGGCTGGAGGGTGTATGGTCCCAGACATGAAGGGAATAGAGACCTGCTGTAGTTGAGACAAGTTACCCAAATGTGCTGGGAAGGTCAGTGTGGAAAGTTGACACACAAATAGATCACAGGTAATTATGCTAGGTGGTAGTGTGATAGAGAAGTCAGTGTCTTGGGGGTACATCTGAATCATAATCATTTAGCTTAGAAAAGGCCTTTAAAGATCAAGTCCAACTGTAAACCTAACAATACCAAGTCTACTGCTAAACTGTCCCTAAGCACCACATTTACATGTATTTTAAATTCCTCCTGGTATGGTGATTCAATCACTGCCCTGGACAGACTGTTCCAGTGCCTGACAACACTTTTGGTGAAGAAATTTTTCTTAATATCCAATCTAAACCTCCCCTGGCACAACTTGAGACCATTTCCTCTTGTCCTATCACTGGTTAATTGGGAGAAGAGACCAACACCCACCTTGCAACAACCTCCTTTCAGGCAGTTGCAGAGAGCAAAAAGGTCTCCCCTCAGCCTCCTTTTTTTCCAGGCTAAACATCCCCCATTCCCTCAGATGCTCTTCATAAGACTTGAGCTCTAGACCCTTCATCAGCTTCCTTGCCATGGAGACACACTCGAGTGTCTCAATGTCCTTGTAATAAGAGGCCCAAAACTGAACACAGGATTTGAGGTGTGGCCTTACCAGTGTACAGAGGGACAATTGCTTCCCCAGTCCTGCTGGCCACTATATTTCTGAATACAAGCCAGGATGCTGTTGGCCTTCATGGCCACCTGGGCACACTGCTAGCTCATATTCAACCAGCTGTTGACCAACACCCCCAGGTCCTTTTCCTCTAGGTAGCTTTCCAGCCACTCTGCCCCAAGCCTGTAGTGTTGCCTGGGGTTGTTGTGACCCAAGTGCAGGACCTGACAGAGCCTTGTGGAATCTCATACAATTGGCCTCAGCCCATTGATCCAGCCTGTTCAGATCCCTCTGTAAAGCCATCCTGCCATCAGACAGGTCAGTGCCCCCCCCCCAATTTAGTGTAATCTGCAAACTTACTGAGGGTGCACTCTATCCCCTTGTCCAGGTGTGAGGAACGGACCATCTTCTCTCCCCCCCCACAAGACTAAACAAAATGCCTTTCAAGCCAGCAAAGCAAGAGCGGCGCCTTTTTGCTGATTCAGCCAAGGACAGAATGAACAGGCCTCTTGCTCTACCAGATAAGGCTACAGGAAGAAAGCAGCACAAGGGTCATGATAACTGGCAGAAAAATAGACAATAGGTTAAAAGCTGCCTCTGACAGAGTATGGACCTGGCCAGTGCTAACTGGCTATTTTGGACAGTGGTACTTTCTGGAACAAGTGATCTCTGATCTATAAAAAGAGAGTAAGATCTGCAGG